TATTGAATGGTCATTTAACAAAGATACTGAGTACTTTATTGTTGGAAGGGTGCGTTAAGGTTGAGATTTGTATGGCTAAAGCGAAGGGTGTGAGCGCAGAGAATGGTTGAAGTTGACTTTGTGTAATGTGTGGACTTCTGGTTGAATCTTTGATGTGATTGCAGGTATGTTTTGTGGTTCCGACGTTGGATTTGACTGTCTGCGATCACATACATGTATATGGCTGAGAGGAGTCTCACGGCGATTGTGAGAAGTGATCGTCACATACTTATTCCCCTCTATATACATACGTATATACCTATGTTTGAGTATTCGCGTGGCCTAAAGAGCCCACGTTGAAGGGTTTAATTGAGCTTGAGACTGATAGAGGAAACAAGATTTCCTTCCCTTACCGTTTTTTTGCTTCTTAAAGTTTCTTAGTCAGACATTGGTCCTGAGTCTGGATTCGAGCTCCTTGTCAAGAACACCCCACGTCATAGACTCCACGCGCAGAGCCTATTTGCCCTTCCCATCGAGACACTCAGCCTTAGGGTCGAAGGTACCAAGGGGGTTGAATGGTTGTTCCTTTAGCCATACAAAATCGTGAAGGGTTCGACCCTCACGATACTTCGAGATTGGCACTTGAGTGTCACAAGCGGGACCTCTTAATTATGGGCACTACATAGTACGTCATTATTGCAACTGCTTGCGTATTTATACATTGCTAGTCTGTATGGGAAAACTTTGCGTCTGCGCGGTCTTATACTAAGTCTCTCGCGTATTGCCTATCCGATTTTCACGTCGGAAGGTTATGGGATGGGTATAAAAGGGACTAGGAGTGTTGTTGTGTTGTTGTTTTGTGTCATTCCGTGTGTGTGAGTGTTGTGGTGTGACGCGTGGTATATAGGACGCGTCCTGGTCGACCGACGACGAATCGCGCTTGGGACTTCAGCCCCCGAGTGTGTCGGTTCGCTTGCGGGTTTGATAGAGGCATAAGACCGCGCGTACCCCTTATGCTACAACAAACGAAAAACGTCCTCAGCTGGTCCACCTCTTCGATTGCAACTGATTAGCTTTCGTACTGTGGACTGGTAGCTCGGCGGGGATACGCCCACCGAAGGGAGGTAAGTTGTACCTTGCGTTGGCCCTATCCTGCTGTAGGGGCTCGCGAGAGGTATGGTTGGCGCACTCGGCCAAGGCGGCTTGCGGAAGCTCTCTGTGTGTCGCGATGAGGTAGACCAACTCCTGCGTGACGCGTGCGGCAGAGTCCCACCCTGCGCGGGACCGATGCGCTCGACAGCGCGGGGAAATTTCATCGACGGAAAAACGGTGAGAGTATCTATGTTACCCAAATGTCATGACATCTAATTAGTGACGCGAATGAATAGACTAACTAGATTCCCACAACCTCGAGCTACCATCTTGCGAAACCACAACCAAGGTAACGGGTTTGAAAGAATCGGCGGGGGTAGCGGCTTGTCATCTAATTGGTGGCGCGCATGGGTGGATTAACGAGATTCGCACTATCTCTATCTACTATCCTACGAGACCTCTGCCAAGGGAGTGGACTTGGAAGAGTCGGCGGGAAAATAAGCAAGCGCCACGTCATCTGATTAGTGACACACTTGAATGGATTAACGGGAATTATCACTACCTCTACTCTACCAACCTGCGAAACCACAGCCAAAAGAACGGGCTTGGGTGGGGAAAAGAAGACCTCGTTGAGCACGACTCTAGTTTGATTCCAGGTCTCTACGGATGTCGACGCAATGTGATTTCTGCTCCGAGCTCTGAACGCCGCAATCAAGAACGGATGAACGAAGGAAGCGCATGTGCGCATGTGCGCTGACGAGCACAGGGGCGTCGAGTCTCAGCCAAACCCAAAAGCTCACTCTATCGGACCCAGACCATATCGGACCAGACCGGGCTCTGAACAGACCAGACCAGACGAGACCAGATCGAACCAGACCGGGCTCGAAACAGATCAGGCAAGACGAGGTCTGGAACAAAACAGACCTGATCCGACAACACCAAGGCCAAGGGCAGGTCCAGATTGCGCACCCGAGAGAGCCAAGGCATCATCCTTTCAACGGGCTTCAAGTCGGAGCCCAGACTCATATTAAGAATCGGGCCTCGATGGGCTCACGATGCTTACTTCAAACTTGGAGGATTCTAACAAGATCCTTTGGGACCGACGGGGGCGGTACCAACATCACCCCATTGATCGTGGGATCCAGCGAAGAACACCGGCACGATCTGTCTCAACACAAACCGAACCCTTAGGCTAGCGTAAGGGAGGATGCTCTGGGATAGGATGTAGTGGGTCTGTGCCTATCATTATTTACTGAATAAAATGACTTTTTTTTTCTTTCTACATTTAGTGAGCCGTTCAACTTGCACCTTGTTTTTTTATATGCGACTCGGTGGCGGATTTTGCAGGTTACACAAGCCTGGAACTAGTCCTCCCGTGGGTGACAGACACGGAGCGAACATAGGATTAGATCCGCAGGCCGACAGAGCCCTACTTTCGGTCGACAGTGGCGCTGTTGTTGGGGAAGGCTGCCTCTCGGGACTTCAATCCACCAGTAACCGCAGAGGCGCGGGAGGAGTAGGAGACGAGGTTTAATTTTGACCGGTTTTTACTTTGGATATTTCTTGTTGTGTGCAGGTGCGGTGTGAGTACAAATGAGCGGACGACGGACGACTGACTTGTGATCGACGTTCCCCAATGAGATGTGGATTTCTGCATTCTCGTGATTTTATTGATTCTTGCATTCTCATGACTCCGTGATTTCCCTTCCTGCGTGTTTTCTTGTGATTGAGGGAAATTGTTCTGATTTTTCCCTACCCTTTGGTCAGTGCACCCTGATCTGACTCTAAGAGAAAAAACTGTGAGCCAAGGACGAACAGAAGAGATTGAAGCGGAAGGGAGAAGCGCCCCGGATTGCAAGGAGCTGGGAGGGAACTAAATAGGCTAGTTGATTGTGATGGATAACTGGGGGGTTTGAATCAAAACACGAGTTAGTGAGAGACCATGTCTGAGGTGGGCCGAGTAGAGGCATGGATAGGAGTGAGGATGCACGAGAAAGACACTGCCACTTCGTTCACGTATGACTTCGGTCGACCCTGAGACACATGAGTTGGCCAGCTCGTGTTCAAGTCGCGACGGAGATGGTAGGCCAAAGACGATGGTACGTTAGACTATCCTCCTTCTCGGCATGAGGTTAGGGAGAGATACGCTAGAGGGCAATTCTTTTCTAAGCCTGTTGACGTCTTGACGGGTTATAGGAGCATTTGACGGGGGCTTGTCGTGTGGGTCTATGAGCTCACCTATCGAGAGTGGGTTGCATAACTCGAAGAGAATGCCATAGCTATCTTTTCGTTGATTAGTTGGATCGACCGATGATCTGGATGGGGTACTGATGGAAACAGGGAGTACTTATCCTATGGTGTTAGTTCAAGAAAAAAGGTATTGCACAAAAGGGGAACGACCCTGAGAGAAAATATGAGGATGGAAACTTCTAATGGAGAGCGAAAGGCGAAGATAAGAGTAAGACAGAAGAGGAGTGACGTCGAGATTCCAGGGAGAGAATCCTCGAACGAGATATTTTATGATCCATATGGACGACATCCATATTCGATGATGTGTGCTCAGCCATAAAGACCCCCTTATCATCCTCCTTAATTCGCCGGGTTACCCTTATACTTACAAGGCATCAGGTAACATAATTTCTTGATGACTGAGAAGTTTACGCCTTGAGAGCGGAATTCACTAAGAGGGAGGCGATAACTGGGTTCAATAATCACAGTGTAACGGACTCGCCAGGATGGCGCTCCGTCAGGATCAAGACGAAGGGATGAGGATGGGGGAAATGGAGATGGAGCTGGAAGGGACAGCGCAGCTCCAACGCATACTCAACACGCACGTACTCCAATCTGTGCAAATGAAGAATGCCACAAAACAGACTGCAGCTGGGGTATACCCCCAGCGGACTTACTGGACTGGACTGGACTGGACTGGTACTGACAGTGGTACCGGGCAGGACTGGACTAGACTGAATAACCGCACGGCCTGTGGGGTCAGGCCACGGCCTAGTCCCACAGGCCGGACTGGCAAATAGCCAAATAGGCCCTGGCTGTGGGCCAGGGCAGATGAAGGCCCGCTGCACGATCCTCAGACCTGTAATGGATCGCAAGAGCCATAAACACGCTATCCGCAAAAGCAGTGGAACTCTGCAATAAAGAAAGCTGAGAAATCTAGGATGCGGAGCAAGCTCCATGCAGAGTCCATGCGATGCATCCTAAGCTATATAATATCAAAAGAAAAGCAAATGTCTGGTATACATATCCTAGCTAACAGCAGAAAATTAAATGTAGTATGATACACTCCTAAAGTCCTCGAGGCAGTGGCCTCAGTGCTGAAAGGAGAAGAGCAATATGTCACAAGATAATGTCATGTCGCTGAACCACTAAAAGTGGGATGGTCTCAGAGGGGGTGAATGCAGCCTAAGAATCGAAAATCCTAAGGGCAGTCACACATGAAGGTGGGATAGGTCATCAGGTTCAACGTGGGAGAGTGGTAGCGAAACAAAACCAATGACCCTAACATCAAGGCGGGTAATGCTCGACAAGGGTGACACCATGCAGGGTCGACCATGAAAAGGGGGAGCCTGGAATAGGGTGGAGATATGCCTAACTGAAGGCATGCAAGGGCCGGCACTAGGGTGATGAGGGCAGTGGGTGAGGGAAACATGCACACAACTCACTGACTGGGGGAGGAAGGAGCTAGATCTGGGGGCAAGGAATCCAAGATAACGCTACGGTCCCAATGCCTATGAGATACCAAGGGAGAGCCCAACTCAAAGAGACCCAGCTAAGTGAGAACCATCATGCGACAGATGCAAAGGAATGTACAGGGTAGGGTGGTGGCGTGAAGTAGTCACGTCCAAAGTGGTTGAAGCCGATAAGGTAGCTGAAGTCGTCGAATCGGTCGATGACGTCGATGAAGTAGCAGTCRAGTCGATGTCGAAGCAGAGCCGCAAAACGCTGACATCCTGAAGAAGAGCTGATGATGGAGTACCTGATGGTGTGAGTCAGTGGGGAAAGATGGAGGATAAGAGTGTCAGTCATCGTAACGTGAAGGGCGACGATGMGTGCGCTGTGGACGCTCGGAGGCGACCATCTGCGGCTGAGGAATGGCCTCAGAGGGAGCGGGCTCATCCTCAGCGATCTCCTCAGCCGGAGGAGGAGGAAGAGGGTCAGTCGGCTGAGTAGAAGCAGATGTCCCAGCACAACGAGCACGATCATATGCACGGACCAACATCCTGGCGTGTTGCAAGTGCTCGAGGGGCTCCCAAGTAGCCTCCTCATCAGGGTAGCCCTTCCAACGCACAAGGTACTCGATGCGTGGAGGGGTATCGTCGGTAACTCGGCGTGATACAATGTCGGAAACAACGAACTCCTCGTGACCGTCCACCATGATAGGTGGAGGGCGCTCATAAGGGCGTCCGGCGAAGCGCTCGGACGGTCTGCGATAAGGACGCAGCAAGGAGACGTGGTAAACATCGTGTACGCGAGCCTGTCGAAGGTAATCAGGTAGCTTCACACGGAAGCTGACCAGACTAGCGGCAGTATCAGAGCCGACGGCTTGAAGGATGCGGCATGGACCGAAGAAACGACGCCTGAACTTGCGAAGCATATCTGCTTCGAGCTGTAAGTGGCGTGCGTTGACGAGCACATCGTCACCGACTTTGAATGGATGATCCATTCGTGATCGGTTCGCTCGTGCGGCCATGCGAGTCTGGGAGTCGGATAAACTCTCGTGTGCGCGCTTCATAATCGCCGTCATGTGGGCGATCCAGTCGTCAAGCGCAGGGCAACGAATGTCTGGGCGCAACCGCGATGGTCGTAGGAAATCCGCAGGTATGCGAGGGTGGTAGCCGAGGTCGCAATAGAATAGCGACATCCCCGTGGCTGGCGAAAAAGTGTGGTTGTACGCAATCTCCGCGTGGGCTAAGTGTAAGTCCCACTGCTGGTCATCCCTAACAAACTTTCGGAGGATATTACCGAGAGTTTTGTTGGTGACCTCAGTCTGACCATCCGTCTGAGGGTGGTAAKACGATGAGAAGCGGAGCTGGGATCCGTACACCTCGTGTAGGCGTCGCCAGAATGTGCTGGTAAAGCGCGGGTCACGGTCGGAGATGATGCTCTGAGGTAAGCCGTGATCTCTCACGACTCGGTCGAAGACGATGTCGGCGACCTCACGAGCGCTAATGCGATAGCGGCACGGAACAAAACGTGCACGCTTCGTGAAGCGATCGACGACGACCAAGATAGCATCATGACCACGCTGAGTGGGTGGGCGGAAGGGACCAATGAAATCCATCGAGATAGACTGCCAACGACCTTCAGGTATGGGTAGGGGCTGAAGTAACCCATACGAAAGGTGGTTTGCACTGTTCACCTCCTGGCAGGTAGAACACTCCTGGATATAGGCTTTGACAAAGTCCTTGGACTTCGGCCAGACGTATAGGCGGCAAACACGAGTCAACGTTTTGTGGAAACTCATATGACCGGCAGCTGCCTGGTCATGGAACTCTGCTACAGCCTGGACGCGGAGCTGTCCGGTGGAGGGAACGCAGATACGTGGTTCTAGCTGACCAGATCTGCCATGCCAGTACACGAGGCCGTTCTCCCCGAGGGAGTAGGAAGGAACGGTCTTGCCACTCCGCAGTGTCGCGTGGATGACGCGATAATCGGGGCAGTGGCGGTACTGAGTTCGATACACGTCGATCACCGACTGATCAACACTGGTGATGGAGATGGCAGCAAGATGGATGGGATCTTGATTGTGATCAGGACGGCGGGACAAGGCATCGGCGACGCGGTTCGTTTCACCCTTGATGGGCTGAGTGGTGAAACTGAACTCGGATAAGTCACGCCACCAGCGTGCCTGTCGAGGGGAAAGCTTAGGCTTCGTGAGGAAAGCCTGGACAACTGAGTTGTCCGTGCGCACCGTGAAGGGCGCCCCGTGCAGATAATGACGCCAATGCCGGGTAGCATAAACTACTGCGAGAACCTCACGTTCATCGGCAGTGTAGTTTATCTCGGCAGGTAGTAGATGACGGAAGTAGAAAGCGATCGGACAATCCCCAGCACGAGCCTTGACCGTCCCATCCTCCGCGATGGTCGGGGAGTAAGTAATGGGAGGACTGTCAGTGGAGGGAAGTGGTGGTAGGATAGGCGTCAGTCGAGAAGCAATGTCAGCAGGAGGGGGGGGGAAAGAAGGAACATGGGGGTAAGGTGAATCTGGAGGAGAGGGAAACACCTGAGAAAGGACAGCTCCTACTGCAAAATCTGACGCATTGGTGGTGACGATAAAGGGACGATCAAAATCGGGAAGGCGAAGAACCGGCGCGCAAGTCACCGCCTTCTTGAGGGCGCGGAAGGCGTCCTCGCAGAGGGGTGTCCAAAACCAAGGCGGGTTCTTCCGGAGGAGGGTGGAGGTAAGGACGTAGGAATACCTAGCGCATCCCTGGATAAAATTACTATAGTAGCTGGTGAGGCCTAGAAAGTCGCGAAGCTGCTTGGCAGATGTGGGGACGGGCCACTCTGCAATAGCAGTGATCTTCGCGTCGTCCATGTGGAGACCCAGGTCAGACACATGGTGTCCTAGGAAGTCCACTTTGAGCTGGGCAAAGCGGCACTTACTGAGCTTGGCATAGAAGCCATGCTTGCGTAAGCGCTGTAGGACATCGCGGAGGTGTCTGATATAGTCTTCTAAGGTACGACTGTAGACCAGGATGTCGTCCATGTATACGAGAACGTATTCTTCAAGGATGTCCCTGAAGATGTCGTTCATCACCGTCTGGAAGGTGGCGGGTGCATTGGTGAGGCCGAATGGCATCACCGTGAACTCGTAGTGGCCGAAGCGCGACCGAAAGGCGGTCTTCGGCTGGTCCTCTGCGGCAACGCGGATCTGGTGGTAACCGCTACGAAGATCGATCTTCGTGAAGAAGCGGTTGCCTGCCAGACGGTCAAACAGCTCATCCGCGTGGGGCATGGGATAGCTGTTTTTAACCGTGTAACGGTTAAGGCCGCGATAATCGATGCAGAGGCGGAGAGTTCCGTCCGCTTTGCGAGCAAAGAGG